CACGTATCTGAACCTCTAGGATCCTTCAAGAAATTAATTTTATAGCGAATTTTGAAAGTTATCGACGAAAATTGCAACATCGAAAATTTTATCAAAACTTCAAATATTGTTTTCTCAAAAACTAAAAGTTATTTTTCAAAACGGGGTTTGTTCATTGTAAAGAGGACACTCTTATTAACACTTTGGGAAATTTTCATACTCATATTCCAAGAACTAGATTTTATACGAATTTTTAAATCTAAATCGGCGAAAATTGCATAATTCGAAAAAATTTTCGATCATTTTAAAAATTTATTTTTCAAAAACTGAAAGCGATTTTTCAAAACGGCTTGTTGCGTTAAAAAGAGGATACTTGAATTAATAATTGGTGATATTTCCACAAGGATCCTTCATGAAATTAATTTTATAGCGAATTTCGAAAATTTCGTATGGCATAAGACTGCTTGGCAAGACATAAGATGTTAAATTTTTTACTGATTTGAGATCTACCAACTTGCTGGGATAACACAAACTAGTGTCTTTCCCTGAATGTTAACCTATAATCCCTAAGATCTTACCAGTTTTTATCTTGTTATTATTAAAGTCAGTATGATTCAGCCAAATTTTCTATCCTTAAAACGACAGCATTATCAGCAAAGAAGACCATAACAATCCACCAGTGACAATCTCAAAGGTGAATCGTTTATGAACATACTCGAATGACCATTACAAAACATAATAAAAGTTGATTTTGGTATTTTTTTAAAGTGTTTCAAAGTTCCCAAAAATAGAAGAGCTTGTTGATGTTTGTCAAAATGGTTATAATCGATTAAAAACATCTTTAGGATACTTAACGATGATGATATAATGAAAAACCATGATTTTGATATTTTATCAAAGTGTTTCAAAAATCTTAGAGGATTGAAAAATTTATTGGGGTTCATCGAAATAGTTTTATCTCAAGAATGAAGAAGAAGGATCTCAAAAATATAATAAAACTTGATTTTGGTATTTTTTGAAAGTGTATCAAAGTTACCAAAAATAGAAAAAAGTTGTTGGTGAGTGTCAAAATAGTTCTAATTTTTTTTGTAAGGTCATAAAATCATATCACCAACCTTCCTAACAAAGAGTAAAGCAACTATATATTTTATGCCCAATCACATTGAAAGAAAGATTTTGTGGATTCTGCCATTATCTTATTTACTCAGCCAAAATTGGAGTTCAAAACTTTAAAAATCAATGTTAACGTCAACTTGTATTTTATTGGCAGTTAGTGTTGTAGTTTGATAAAATTTAGTGCTTTAACTCTTATATTTTTAAGTGCAATTTTCTTAATGTTTCTAAAAATAATACTTAGTGTCTGACGTTAGTAATTTATTATAGAGGTTGCAACCTTCAAGTATTGCAAAGAGTTAAGGTATAAACCACACTCGTATAACTTTTTTTGTTTTACTTTTTCTTGAACTACAACTACAAACCATTAAGAATGACCATTCCATGTAGATTTTTTTAACTTATTTGCCATTACTTAAGTTTCATGCGAGTTGTTAATTGGTAATAATAATATATCATGTGATATATATATATTTTTGAATTCAACATGAAAATATCATCTGGTAGATAGGTACAAATTAGAAGTAGGACGTCCCACTTTAATAAGAATTTCTTTAATCTCTAATTTGAAACCGTTTGAATTTTAAATTATCCGAACAAAGAATTTAATTGAAACGTGAAACTTGGTTTGAAAATCGAAAACGAAAACAGGAGATAGGTCGGATTTTTGTGTTATTTTGTATTTCTGACAAAGACACACTTTCCCCAAATGGACGACCGGCTTGCATACTTTATCTGATTACTTTCACTGAAAACCCAATTGAGCGATGATTTCTGCATGATTCACCGCCGTTCGGCAGAAATTTTGAAATCCTATACGAAATTTTTTTTTATGTTTCGAAAACTTCTCACACATTGATGTGTCGCTATTTTATGTGAAATTTGTTCTTCCCACGATTATTTTATGTTCCAATTTCTTAAATCGAAAATTAATTCAATGAATAATATAAACATTTATTTCTCCATTTTAATATTCTATTTAGACTTTCTTATTGTTTAATAATAAAAAAAAAAAAACAAGAATTGAAGATAAAAAATGTTTATTAAAAGAAAAATAAAACAACCTTTATATTTATTATTTTTTTATATAAAAAACACAATACAAATATACGTTTCAACTAAATAAAAAAAATAGTACAAAACAACTCTATTTAATTTCAATAAATTTTTATGTTTACACAAAAAAAAATTAATAATTTCCATTCTAAATTTAAAAGAATCAAAATTTAAATTATTTTATTTACAAACGATTTTTGTTCTTTTTTATTTTTAACTTTTATTTTACGATCTACCATTAAATCTTCTACCAGTTCTGGCTGGTGCGCTTGTTCCAGCTGGTTCGGCTTCTGCGTTATCTTGTTTAGATCCGCTATTAAACCGCCTTCTACCCGATGAAGAAGAAGCTGGTGCTTTCGTTGGTTTAGGAGCTGGTTCTTGTTGAGGCTCCGAATCCGCTTCTACCGGTTGAGATTTATGAGATTTGGCTAAAAATCATCAATCATCAAAAACCAAATTAAAAGCAAAATAAAAATTCTTACCAGACGCAGCTTGTTCTCTCCTCCTTTTTAAAGCAGCCAATAAATCGTCATTACTTCTAAACGGTCTTAAAATTCCACCTTTTAATTTTCTTGGTGGTTCCGTGGTTGAAGATGGCTCAGCTGGTGCTTCTTCTTCGACTTCTTCTTCCTCGTCGGCGGGGACTTCCTCTTCCTGTCACATAAATGCAATATGACGAATGCGTTACGTAATAAAAGAAACGGTTCTTAATCAAAAGTGATTTGAATTTTAATTCATACGCGAGAAATAAAAATTTGTATGTGAGATATAGTTTTGTTTTTATTTGGTTATTTTTTTTTCGGTTTCGATTTTCATGTGTGGAATTCCGAGCAACGCGCCGCCGAAATAAACTTTCACTGAATTTCATTTGCATGTAATCTTCAGTAAACGTGTGTGTGTGCTTGCGCCGGATTAAACAAGATTGCGTGTGATTTATTCAGTTATTTTCAATACTTTTTTTATACTTCCAAGAATTTCTTTGATATTTTTAAGAAAATTTTAGAAAGTTTTTCTTTAATCACACATTTACGTTTTAATAATTCGTGAATTAACGAAATACACTAATCAGAGAATCATCAGTAAACAAACAGAGATATTTTATATAATGTTTGTATAATGGTTATTTGTATATCAAGGTCGAACTGTAAGTCTTAAACAACACATTTAAGATAAGAAAAAAAATTCTTGCAGCTGATATAATTATCTTATCTTTTAAGAAGTTATAAGCTTTGGAAAATTTCGGGCATTAGATCAACGTAGGAATTATCTATAATAGTTAATAATATTCAAAAATGACAACTGATTGTTCGTATTTGTCAATGACATGATTGATCATACTTGTGGGACATCCATAGAAAGTTATAAAGGTCATTAGCTTTTGAAAATTGGTAAAAAAAGATGTTGGTGACTGTCAAAATAGTCTTAATAATTTAAAAACATACTTAAAACGCTTTATTTAGGACGTTAGAACTAAGAAAAATAATTTTGACAATTTTTTGAAGTGTTTCAAAGTTTGCAAAAAATACAAAAATGCCTTTGGTGTGTATCAAAATAGATCTAATCGATTAAAAACATCCTTTGGGCCAGAGGCGGCCCTACTGGGGGGTGCAAGGGGTGCACTGCACCCGGGCGCTGCCTAAAAGGGGGCGCCGGTGCCTTTTTATCGTTTTCTCCAACAGTATCTTATCTTTCTTTTGCAGTATTTAGACCTGTCAGTAGTAACTAGTCTTCAGAAAGCAGTATTTAATCTCCACAAAGCAATTTTAGTCTTTAGAAAGCAGTATCTAGTCTTCAGAAAGCAGTATTTAGTCTTCTAGAAGCAGTATTTAGTCTTCTGCCAAAGTTATGTATGTTTTCTCCAAAATATTTTATCTTTCTTTTGCAGTATTTAGACCTGTTAGCAGTATCTAGTCTTCAGAAAGCAGTATTTAGTCTTCTAGAAGCAGTATCTAGTCTTCTGCCAAAGTTATGTATGTTTTCTCCAAAATATTTTATCTTTCTTTTGCAGTATTTAGACCTGTTAGCAGTATCTAGTCTTCAGAAAGCAGTATTTAGTCTTCTAGAAGCAGTATCTAGTCTTCTGCCAAAGTTATGTATGTTTTCTCCAAAATATTTTATCTTTCTTTTGCAGTATTTAGACCTGTTAGCAGTATCTAGTCTTCAGAAAGCAGTATTTAGTCTTCTAGAAGCAGTATCTAGTCTTCTGCCAAAGTTATGTATGTTTTCTCCAAAATATTTTATCTTTCTTTTGCAGTATTTAGACCTGTTAGCAGTATCTAGTCTTCAGAAAGCAGTATTTAGTCTTCTAGAAGCAGTATCTAGTCTTCTGCCAAAGTTATGTATGTTTTCTCCAAAATATTTTATCTTTCTTTTGCAGTATTTAGACCTGTTAGCAGTATCTAGTCTTCAGAAAGCAGTATTTAGTCTTCTAGAAGCAGTATCTAGTCTTCTGCCAAAGTTATGTATGTTTTCTCCAAAATATTTTATCTTTCTTTTGCAGTATTTAGACCTGTTAGCAGTATCTAGTCTTCAGAAAGCAGTATTTAATCGTCCAGAGCAGTATCTAGTCTTCAGAAAGCAGTATTTAGTATTTTAGAAGTAGTATCTAGTCTTCTGCCAACGTTATGTATGTTTTGTTCTTGATACTCTTATTACCTGTACGGATCTTGTACCACCAGGTACCTCATTTCTGCAGCTGTTACTTTGCTTTTGTGCTTATCCTGCATTGGCAAAGTTTCCATATTGGTGATTTGCTGTCCTGTGCAATAACAAGACAAGTCCATTGGTTTCTTGTTCATATGCTTCGCATTCTTTTATTGAACAGTAATTTTAGACTTCATGTGGACTTTAAACAATGTAATTCCTGTTTTTTGCTGAAGTCTAGTTTATAACTATTGCAATTTCAGACTTTTTCTTGCAAATTAACCTTCTGACCAGAGTATTCCCGACTATTCCCTTAAGTTTGGTTTTTCACCAGTATAATTCTTAAATTTTTGCTGAAGTATGGATTATGATTATTCCAGTCTTTTTTAAGTTTATTTATATTTCTTTGATTATATATATTTTTTNGCATTTAGTGTTCCAGACGCTGTATTTAGACCTGTCGGAAGTATCTAGTCTTCAGAAAGCAGTATTTAGTCTTCTAGAAGCAATATCTAGTCTCCTGCCAACATTATGTATGTTTTCTCCAACAATATCTTATCTTTCTTTTGCAGTACTTAGACCTGTCAGCAGTATCTAGTCTTCAGAAAGCAGTATTTAGTTTCCACAAAGCAATTTTAGTGTTTAAAAAGCAGTATTTAGTGTTCCAGATGCTGTATTTAAACCTGTCGGCAGTATCCAGTCTTTAGAAAGCAGTATTTAATCTTCCAGAACAGTATCTAGTCTTCAGAAAGCAGTATTTAGTTTTTTAGAAGTAGTATCTAGTCTTCTGCCAACGTTATGTATGTTTTGTTCTTGATACTCTTATTATCTATACGGATCTTGTACCACCAGGTACCTCATTTCTGCAGCTGTTACTTTGCTTTTGTGCTTATCCTGCATTGGCAAAGATTCCGTATTGGTGATTTCCTGTCCTGTGCAATAACAAGACAAGTCCATTGGTTTCTTGTTCATATTCTTCGCATTCTTTTATTGAACAGTAATTTTAGACTTCATGTGGACTTTAAACAATGTAATTCCTGTTTTTTGCTGAAGTCTAGTTTATAACTATTGCAATTTCAGACTTTTTCTTGTAAATTAACCTTCTGACCAGAGTATTCCCGACTATTCCCTTAAGTTTGGTTTTTCACCAGTATAATTCTTAAATTTTTGCTCAAGTATGGATTATGATTATTCCAGTCTTTTTTAAGTTTATTTATATTTCTTTGATTATATATATTTTTTTAATTAAAATGCATTATTGGTGTGCGTTAAAATAGTTTAATTGTTTAAAAACATCCTTAGAACACTTAGGGCCGGTTGTACAATATACCGATAAATCTACCTAATAACTATCCGGCCGATAAACTTATCGGGAGGATAAAAATATTCGCTGTTGTACAAAGTGTTTTTGTCGGTAGGATTGCTATCGGCGAAATAAGAGTCGATTGGTAGTACTTTTCCCCAATATCTAGTTATTTGTGCCATATGTTGGTAACGCTCCTCTTTCTATGAAATTTGAGCTATGATTTTTCCAAAAATAGAAAAAAATTGTTGGTGAGTGTCAAAATAGTTCTAAATGATAAAAAATATGCTCATTTATGTATCAAAATAGTTCTAATCGATTAAAAACATCCTTTGGACACTTAATGAGGATGTCAGAAATATAATAAAAGCTGATTTTGGTATTTTTTGAAAGTGTTTCAAAGTTACCAAAAAAGAGAAAGCTTGTTGGTGTTAGTCAAAAGAGTTATAATCGATTAAAAACATCTTTAGCATACTTAACGATGATGATAGAACTAAAAAAAATGATTTTTATCAAACTGTTTCAAAAATCTTGGAAGGTAGAAAAACTTATTGGTATTTTCGACAAAGTGTCTTTGTCGGTAGGATTGTTATCGGCGAAATAAGAGTCGATTGGCAGTCCTTTTTTCCCATATCTAGTAATTTGTGCCGTAGATTGGTAACGCTAACGTCTTTCTTTGAAATTTTAACTATGATTTTGACAATAATAATACGCATAGAATGCTATAGGTTAACCTATGCAATAACCATACAGAGTTTTTATGTAAAATCATTTGTAACCATATAGTATATCTGGCAGATAACTGTCTTATCAGCACCACTGAGTACCGATAGATTGATAAGTTATCCTGCCGATAATCTCACCGACAAAAATATCCGTACATTGTAATACAGTACAACTTATCAGCCAGATAACGCTGTCGGGAAGTTTATTCCCGACATATATTGCACAACCGGCCCTTAATGAAGTAAAAAAATTAATTTTGATATGAGTTTATAAGTTTCCAAAAATAGAAAAAAGTTGTTGGTGAGTGTCGAAATAGTTCTAATCGATAAAAAACATCCTTAGAACACTGCACGGAGATGTCCGAACTATAAAAGTTGATTTTGGTATTTTTTTGAAAGTGAGTTCTAATACTGCCTGGTGGATATTCGCACTCGTTTGTTGATTGGGCAGATGATAATTAATGCAGAATTGAGTTTTGCCATCTTTTTTAGTTGCTGGAACGATGAAAGATGAAACCATCGACCAGCAAACGTTCCATCTCCCAAGCAGTAATAGTTTTATTTCCAGAAAAACATTGTTTTGGCAAGATTATGACGAGTCTTGCTTCACTCATAGCTGAAGGATCTATTCCTCGCGTCAATGGTATGAAAGAAAGTTTCGCACAAACTTGTTAGAAACGCATGGATATTTGGTTGACTAACTCTGAAATCCATAACAAGTCATAGCAATGCCCAACTTCGCAAGCCATATCCGGACGATCAGTATTACAAGACTAGGAGCCATAAACAATAGTTCTTCGCAGTTCTTTTTATTTATGGCAAATTTGGTTAGGAGATGTTGGGATCTGACTGATAGGCATTACTTAGTAGCCATTCTTATGAATCATGAGTTATGACTGTTTGAAATCGTCGGTAGTACTTGAATCAAGCAGGAATTCCTGGTGAAACCTGAATACACGCAACTCTACTATCTTCGAATGTAAGTTATTTTGGTGATCGATTGTTATGGCCGCTCATCTTGGCCCAGGTTGCCATTCCTTGTGTCTAAGGCATTATTAGTCCTAACTATAACCCACTGTAAAACTCTAGTAATTTCTCTAGTACTAATAGCAATTTTAAGACCATGTTATTACCATGCATAGAAAATACTTGATGATGCACGCTTCACCTGGGCTTTAATACATAATTAAAGTCCATAACTCACTCATTGTTGACCAATTTATGCAAAAATAATAGTGAATTATTGCGGGTACTCGCAACATTCAAAATAATTTTGCAATGCTTAGTAAATAATTTAATTTTCAAAGCATTTGGACGTAGACTCTCAAGATGATGGCTTTCTTGGGAACAATAAGAATTGTTAAGGAACATTAAAGCAGCTTAACTAGTGTGTCAAATGTTTTGACCAATTTCGTCCAAACCTTTGCTAAACCTACCTTTTGGAGCTCCAAAAAGTAATAGTATGGGTATTTCCAAAACCCTTGGGTATCAATGATAAAGCAGATACAGGTTGCAACACAATTGGCAGAACAAACCCTATTTTCCACCAATTTGCGAAAGAGTCAGTTTGCAAAGAGAAGAAAATGATTAGCAATAAAAGTCTAACCAAACTCCAGCAATTTTTAATGAAATAACTAAACAAATCATCTCGTGAGCAGAGAATAAAGCAGTCTTGTACATTATCTACAATATAGATATATCATATATAAAAGACCATGATTTAGACATTCAATCAGACTAGAGTTCATGAACTACAAGTAATTGTCAAAATCTGACATTTATCAAAATGGGATTAAAATGTCATGGCAAATTTTGAATGTCTTCTGAACTTCTTCCACTCCAGGACGCTATTTATGCTTATCGCAAACGACAGAGTCGCAGATACTTCAAAGAAAAACATTGCCTTGATACCGAGCGATGCAGGATATTTGGACAAGGTGGCTGACAGTGACAGTCATGTGTTATCTGTATATTATCTGGTCAAAATTGTAAGGTTGAAACAAACCTATTTAATCTTGATAATTGACACTCAAACATTAAATATTAAACAATTAGTTTTACAATTAACCGTGAAGTTTGACCAAAAATGACTTTTTTAGTACAATCTGATTAATTTTAACAAAGTTTCAACATAACTTTTAACATTTAATCTTGGCAATCAATATTATAACGTCAAATTTGACATAAACATCAATTTATGATCACTTACCGAATCAAAGTTGACGTCAACCTTCAAAGTCAACGCAAATATCATAATTTACAATTCAAATATAAATCCAATGACAATAAAATTGTAAATATGACAGCAACAGCAACCTTGAGTGTTTAAGAATGACAGATTCAAAGTCAAATTTAACATTGGCCATGTACGCAAAATGTACGTAAAGATCATTAGCTTTTGAAAATTAGTGAAAAAAGATGTTGGTGAGTGCCAAAATAGTTTTGAATGTTTAAAAACATCCTTAGAACACTTAGTGAGGACGTTAGAGCCAACAAAAATACTTTTGACATTTTTTAGAAGCGTTTAAAAGTTTTCAAAAAATACAAAAAGGTTTTTGGTGTATCTTAAAATAGTTCTAATCGATTAAAGACATCATTAGAATACTTGATGAAGTAAAAAAAATTGATTTTGATGTTCTTGGAAAGTGTTTCAAGTTTGTTGGTGTGTGTCAAAATAGTTCTAATTGATTAAAAACTTTGTTAGGACAGTTAATGAGGATGTCAGAACTATAAAAAGATGAGTTTGGTGTACGGCCCATTTTTATTAGTTGAGAACCGTTGGGTTGTCAATGACATGACTGATCAAACTCATTGATTGCTCGATAGGAAGTTGTGGAGATCATTGGCTTTTCAAAATTGGTAAAAAAAGTTGTTGGTGAATGTCAAAATAGTTTTAAATGTTTAAAAACATCCTTAGAACACTTAGTGAGCACGTTAGAACCAACAAAAATAATTTTGGCATTTTTAGAAGTGTTTCAAAGTTTCCAAAAAATACAAAAAGGTTTTTGTTGTGTCCTAAAATAGTTCTAATCGATTAAAAACATCCCTAAAATACTTTATGAAGTAAAAAATTGATTTTGATGTTTTTGGAAAGTGTTTCAAAGTTACGAAAAACTAAGAAAAGATTGTTGGTGTGTGTCAAAATAGTTCTAATTGATTAAAAACTTTCTTAGGACAGTTAATAAAGATGTCAGAACTATAAAAATTGATTTTGGTGAACGGCCCATTTTTATTGGTTTAGAACCGTTGGCAATTGTAATTAGAAAGTATGATTCGCGCGATAAGTCGAGGATATACCGCTATACACACCTTAATGCATTGTGGTTTGCTGAATATGGAGAGCCGTCAGAACGTGCATGCTAAATAACCGAGTATTGCGCCGTTTAATATTGACATTTACGTTTTTTTTTGATAAGAAAGAAATTTCTAAATTAGCGTTCATAAATGAAAAATCTGTGTTTAAATGTTTAAACAATGTTGCCGTTTGACAACTGATGGTTCGTATTTAATTAATCAATGATATATTTAATTGTTTAAAAACATCCTTAGAACATTTAGTGAGAACGTTAGAACCAACAAAAATAATTTTGGTGTTTTTTAGAAGCGTTTCAAAGTTTGCAAATGATACTAAAAGGCTTTTGATGTGTCTCAAAATAATTCTAATCGATTAAAAGCATCCTTAGAATACTTAATGTAGTAAAAAAATTGATTTTGATGTTTTTGGAAAGTGTTTCAAAGTTACCAAAATGTAGGAAAAGTTTGTTGGTGTGTGTCAAAATAGTTTTAAATGTTTAAAAACATCCTTAGAACGTTTAGTGAGAACGTTAGAACCAACAAAAATAATTTTGGTGTTTTTTAGAAGCGTTTCAAAGTTTGCAAATGATACAAAAAGGCTTTTGATGTGTCTCAAAATAGTTCTAATCGATTAAAAGCATCCTTAAAATACTTGATGAAGTAAAAAAATTGATTTTAATGTTTTTGGAAAGTGTTTCAAAGTTACCAAAATGTAGGAAAAGTTTGTTGGTGTGTGTCAAAATAGTTTTAAATGTTTAAAAAGATCCTTAGAACATTTAGTGAGAACGTTAGAACTAACAAAAATAATTTTGGTGTTTTTTAGAAGCGTTTCAAAGTTTGCAAAAGATACAAAAAGACTTTTGATGTGTCTCAAAATAGTTCTAATCGATTAAAAGCATTCTTAGAATACTTAATGTAGTAAAAAAAATGATTTTGATGTTTTTGGAAAGTGTTTCAAAGTTATCAAAAAGTAGGAAACGTTTGTTGGTGTGTGTCAAAATAGTTCTAATTGATTAAAAACTTTCTTATGATAGTTAATGAGGATGTCAGAGCTATAAAAGTTGAAAATTAAAGTTTGCTAAACGTTAACCGTTGATGAACGCCTTGATAATTGACATCATAAATATCAAAAATGACCACATTAATGTTATTTAAACTCAATACAGCAGATTTCGGACTTAATTTACAAGCTCCAGATAATCAGCAGTTACAAACATCTTAGTTAACTCAAAATTGAAGTTAACAGGAACACTTTTTTTCTTTGTTATATTATGTTTTATTATACCACTGTAACTTACTTCCGGTAATGGTTCCTGTGTAGTTGTAGTAGTAGTCTTAGCATTATTTCTAGATAAAGGATTTCTTCTATTTAATAATAAATTATTTCTTTTTGGCGCAGGAGCCGGATGATCTTCGTACTCGTAATCATCGCCGGCGGGTTTTGCTTGAGTCCACGCGGCCAAACAGACCAACCCAACAAATAGTAATCTGGAGCAAAAGAAACACGGGAAAAAAATCAATAAAACAGATTAGACAAAGAACAACCTTGTTCGGCCACCTGTCTTTGAGTGTGTGTGAGTAAGTTTTCTATTCAACACGATGTTGCGCGACCTTGTTATCTGTTCTTTTAATCGGGGCAGCTTTCGTACTTTCGAAATGATAACAGATACGCAATGAAGAGTATATGAAAGCGGTTGTCTCAATTCAAAGAGATACACCAAAAAAAAAAAATAGAAAGCTAAAGATTTTTTTTGGTATTGATTAAAATTAAATTAAAAACTTATTATTATAACCTTTTAAAGTTATTATATTATTATATCCTATCCTTTTCTTTATTTTTCTTTGGTATGATAGGATAGGTTAGGATGTTCTTTTAACATCTCTCCCCGCTGCTGTTAAAGACTTTCACTATTTCGCTATAATTGAAAACTCGACGCGGTCTTCCTATATAAAAAAAATACCCACCGTTCTCTTGCGACAAGGTCGTTTGGACGCAAGTTGCAAAAAAAGCACACCCAGCGGTAGCAACTTGAATTGATATTTCAAAAATATTTTAAATATCGTCAAGGTGCAATAATAAGGTCACTAATTCGTTTACGTTAATTACCCGGGAGACTTTCTCCGGCGAAGTCATCAATAATTTGGCGAAATGTCATTGTTGCTCTTACGTAATGATTTCAACTTCGACGAGAAGAAGAAGAACGAAAGAAAAAAAAAGGCGAAGAAGTCACGATTTCTCTATGTTAAAGTCTTAAGCTTTGTTTAAAAGCGCCATTCATTGGCCAACCTCTCCCAGGCTTTTTGCATGTCGCAATTGCTAATTCAAATTAATTGCCTAGATAAAATTTTATTTGAATCTTGTAGGTTGTAGAGGTTATGTGAACATTCTTAAAAATAATTAGTTCCGATATTTACCGTGTGAGGGATTGTCAAATTTTTTGATTTGACAGATAATAACTGTCAAAATAACTTATTTACGAGTTATTTTGGGTTTTAAATGAATTTTTAAAAACTAGTTTTATGAAATATTAACCTAAATAATTATTTTATTACATAATTTGTTTTTTTTTATGTCAAAAACAGGTTATCCAAAAAAAGCTGTCAATTAAAATTATTACTATTATTAACTAAAACGATCTTTAAATGTTAAAAAAGAAACATTTAAAACGTATTAGAAAAAAGGTGAGTAATATTAAGCGAACTTACGTTATCCTTAGTTCCATAACTGCTTTTTTTTAAATTTCTTTTTTGTGAAAACGAAAATTCTTCGTTAGTACACAACTGGTCGATTGCTCAGCGTGCAAATCACTAAAATCAGCCGCGAGAATCGACCAATATTTATAAATTCTCTTGGTGACTTTTCCCTTCACTTTACAGCAGCTCAGCTACGCTTTCATGTGGCGTCAATTTATCCGCAAACAGCACCACTTTCACTGATCCACACTAACGGAGGTTGCATTCTTTCAACTTATACAAAAATACAACTTTTCGAAGAGCCCTATCGCTAATTGGATTTCCAAGAATTTTATTGACATTATTATAACCTAAAAAAATTGGTAGCATTAACACCCAAATTAATTTTTTTCAAAATTTAATTATTTATAATCCTAAAACTTTAATAATGTATAATACTTTTAATTAAAACAAATTAATCTTTTATAAATAAAGATATCCAACCAAACATACTTTAAAGTATCAAAATATAATTCCCTACATTACCGACATTTATAATTTATTTTTAATTTTATTTATAACAAACTTAAAAATAACCTTTCTTCCCGTCAAATACTTTTAATTATTTAAAACTTTTATTAAAATTTTTTTTTTAATTCTAATTTTAAGTCCCACTTGCTAGGTGTAGTAAATATTTAGTTGCGCGGTCAGTCACCCCTCAACACGTCATAGACATCGATCTGTACATCTACTCGCCGGGTTACCCTGTGGGGAACCGCTTCCGGGGGTGACGGATTCGAAGAAAGACAATAAAAATGCGTACGTGAAGAAGATGCAGAAAAAGGAAGACTCGTTCGAGCATAAACGCTTAGAGTTGGAGTCATGGCTCCATCGGATGGAGAAGAAACTCGGCGGTATGCTCCCCGTGGGGCACACCGCCGATGTACTCGAAGTCCAACTCAGAGAGCAAAAGGGCTTCCACGCAGAACTACATCAATTCAAAATGCAAATTGAAGCTTTTCAACAGTTTGCCCAACGATTAATTACTTTACATCAACATGAAGACACTAGTCATTATAAAAAGGTTAGTTTCGTAACGATTTAAATGTATTAAGTTTATTATTTAAATTAATTTAGGTTATGGAACATATAAAGCAACATTATGATCGATTGGATGCTTGTGTTATTAATCGTGGGAAACTTTTACATGCTTCATTAAGTAATTTACAAAATTTGGATCGTTCGTTGGATAAATTTTTGGCTTGGCTCAGCGAGGCTGAATCTGTATTAGAAACTTTGGAGGGGGACGTCGAATCTCGTCGAGCTACCCACCAGCTAAAAGAATTACAAGGCGACATTGATAGACAGTCTGCTACACATACTGCCTTAAGAAATTCCAGCCTGGCTCTTTTGGGTACTTTAGCACCTGAAGATGCTCTTATGTTACAACTTAGAGGTGATGAAATGGAAAGAAGATGGCAAGTAAGTTAATAACAAAAAAAAGACTAATATTTGTGGGTGGAAATGTAGGCAACCTTAACCTTTTCAAATTTATTAATATAATCTGATCTTAAATGTTAATAATTTTCATTTCATAATAATTTTTAGTCAATTTCTTAAAGGTGTTGGTTTAATTTTGAGTTACTAAATATATAAATTGATATTTGGTAAGTTCAATAGTAACTAAGTAGTAGTACTTTAATAATAAGTAGTAGTTTTATAAATGATATGGAGTCACCTTCATGAGTCCTACCAAGGGTGTATGATCTGATTCAATATCTGCTTCCAAATAAGTTCTAATTGATGTAGGAAAAAATTTTTATGCCTCCTTTTGATTAATATGTAATTGATTTGGTTTCTTACAATATTTCCTAGTTTATCTGCTGGCTATTTTCATGATATAGTCTCCTTAGTAATAAGTTATTGAATGTGTTTAATCACTTAAGGACAAACAATGAGTTTGTTGTAAAGTGTGGTTGGGTTTATTGCTTTTTTTAAGTAAACAATGAGTGAGAGTCATGAACCATGAATGATGTCTATGAAAGGAATGATTCAAGTTACACATAATCTGATCTTAAATGTTAATATTTTTCATTTTATAATAATATTTAGTAAGAATAAGTCAATTTCTTAAAGGTATCCTAAATGATTGTTGGTTTCATTTTGAGTTACTAAATATACAAATTGATTTTTGGTAATTTCAATAATAACCATAATTTTAATTTAGTATTTTATGAATAAATTAAGATCCTTATAAGTGCTTCATAGACCAAAACTGTATCTACACGCAATATTGAAGACATGTATAGGGACCAAAACCATACAAAGTTGCATAACAAACTCAATTATTTTGGTGATGTGGTGCCAGCATTGTTCAACTGTGTTGACATCTTGAATATTGTTCCAGACGTGCGTTGGGAGGCCTGCATCTTATACTACCATATCCAGAGCAATGTTAAAAAGCAGATATGACAGCTCATTTCCCTGTCATAGACCTTCATGGCTTTAAAATTTTCCTGATAGATCTCCTTGTGTTTTGACTTTACAGGAAATCTTCCTGAGAGTTAGATGTTCTATTACTACGAGATGAGGAAGTATTAAATTTTGTTAGAAACAAGTCTATTTTCTGATTATACAGGGTGTTTCACGTAACTGCTTCGTGAAAAGAGATTTTTCAGGTTCCACTATTCGTAGAGATTTGAAATTTTCTATTAACTATTAACTTAATTTTCTATATTAAAATAACGAGGTTATGGTCTACCGGAAGTAGACTATAACCTCGTTATTTTAAATGGAATGCTATAGTTTTTATTACACCGTTTAATTGTGCGGAAAAAAATAGGTTAACTTTGATAACAGTTATTGGTACCTAGCGTTTTTCGTTTTCGATTTATTTTGGTTTTAAGCTTTTTTTTGGTAAATTACAACATACTCTTTAAAACCCCATATCTCAGCGAAACTTCATTCAAAAAGGATCTACATTGGCACGATTACTCTTCAGATGCTGTCAAATAGATTGTCATTTGTTTTATCGGAGTATCTTATACAGGTGGTCAAAAATTGAATTACCGTTTCTCCATATTCAATGGCGGGAAAGTTGAACATTTTAAATGGCCAAATAATTTTGTACTAATTATCTATAATTAATTAATAATATTCCTATATCTATTTATTGTAGTTTGCCTCATATTGGGAAATTTATTATTTACTCTGATACATTAAATGATTTATAAAATCTATTTCACAGCATCTGAAGAGTAATTGTGCCAATTTAGAGCTTTTTTGAATGAACATTAGCTGGGATATGGGGTTTAAAAGAGCATTATGAAATTTAACAAAGTTTTTGTTTTTTCCTTAGCATATTTTCTAATTGCAAAAGACATTGTAGACTTTTGAGTATAAATGATCCACCAAGAGTCATCTTCATGAGTCCTACCAAGGGTGTGTGATCTGATTTAATACCTACTTCCAGATAAGTTCTAATTGATGTGTGAAAGAGTTTCTATGTCTTCTTTTGATTAATATGTCGTAATATGTTCTAGTAGTAATTTATTGAATGTATTTAAGTACTTGGACAAATGATGAGTATACTTGTGCAGACCAGAGTATCTACTTTTGTTGTAAAGTTGGTGGTGTTTGTTCTTTTGAAGTAAACAATGAGTGAGAGTGATGAACTTTTGACTTATGTGGGTCTGACTTAGAAAATAATGTGGATGAAAGTGATAGAAAGTAAAAATCCGCGAGCAATGTCATGTTAAACCTCGACCAACTTGACAAACATTTACACAGGGTGAGTTTTTTTCCATATTTGGTGTAGAGATCTTGAAAACTAGCGGAGATAGAGAGACGATTAAATAGGGAAAGAATTCCAGTTGCAACTAGATATCTCGAAAAAACCGTTTTTTTGTTATATCGTTAGATACCTATGCTGTTATTGATTTTAGGGAAAATGTGTAAAGGAAAAATTTGTAGGGTATTACATGTTTAATAAAGCAGTCTAACTGATTTTTTTATTTAAGCAATAATTTTTGAGTTATGACACAAACTTGTAATTTTTCTAATGGAAACCATAGTTGGACATGACTTTATACAAAAGGCCTTTTCTCAACGATTCTAATGATATACCACTTGACATAGATATTTTTATTAATAAATAAATTATAGCCATTTATTCTTTTAATTGGAAAACTGTTCAGGTAGTATGCTATGGAAACAATTGATAGATACGTTTTGTTATGACAGCTTATGGCAAACTATGTTTCGTTTAGTTTCTAATTAATATTGATTGATGTTTTGCTGATTATAATCGATATGAATTTTTCTAATCAATAAAAGCGTGATATCATTAAGTGTTACATTTTATGCTATAAAAATACAATACAAGCTGCAGAACAGTGTTTTGATCGTCGCCAGCCTTCTCTACCTACTTTGAAGGGGCTGATAATTTGGGCGAGTATGGTTCTTTCTGTAAACCAACTAAAGATGCAAGACAGAAGTAAATGTATCAGCTCGAATCCATCAAGATGCATCGCTTTCAACATAAGTTACATCTGAAGCAGGCACGTCACAACGTACTGTCGTAAGAGAACTAAAAAAGCGTAGATTTCATTCATATAAAATGGCAGTTTTACAAACACTACCCCCAGATGACTACAATAAGCGTGTAGAATATTGCACGTGGTTTATTAACATATGTAACCTTTTTTATAAAGTCATGGCGAACTATGGTTTTCATTAGAAAACTTTACACATTTTTCCTAAAATCAATAATAGCAGAGCCATAGGTATCGAACGATATAACAAAAAAACGGGTTTTTCGAGATATCTAGTTAGCCATACATTTCATCCAAAAAGCTCATTAAATTGAGTTCATGAAACTGCAATTCTTTCCTTATTTAATCGTCTTTGTATCTCCGCTAGTTTTCGAGATCTCCATACTAAACATGGAAAAGAACTCACCCTGTATAAACTTTTTGAACCAAAGAACGGTAGAATCTAAGAGGATTGCAACATCCCAAGAACAGATACGCAACTCGACAGCCCGTTTGTGACGTCACACATGGGAAATCAACTACTATTTCACAATTTGAATTAGCAAATACTTAACAACTAAAAATAGAGCTAACAGTAGCTAACACTAGACCTAGAACTATAGAAAATAGCTTCGTAGAAATGCAACTCCCTAAACAAAAACTTTGTATTAAAAATTGAACGCATATGGCGCCATCTGTTGGGGATATTTTGGAATTATTCAGCTAAGAACCGAACCACTAGAATCTAGGTTGGATTGGGTTTATATACAAAAGCTCCAACCACAGAATAACTGTTTGGAAAGTGTTTGGAGCGACTGGTTGGGAATCCCTCAGATGCAATTACCTATGGCAATTACACCTGTCAAATAATGCCGCACATTTGAATATCACTGCATCATATGACATGTGAGATTGCATCTGACGAGCAATCTCACAACGACGAGCAATCTCCAACAACTTATAACGTTAGCTGAAACAAAGCTATAATGTCAATAATTATAATCTAATTATTTAATCATACCATTATTACTTTAACATACTCTTACCGAAAAATCGCTTTAAAATGACGTTTTCATCTGTCATTCTGCACAAACTTCAACTTTATAATTTTAAAAGTTGAAGTTAGCGGCAAATTTAAAAATATAACACTAATTGGAATCTATACTTTTTAAATTAAAAGAATGATACGGATAATAATTGTTATTGCTGTCTCTCATCATTCCCACTATTAATAATAAAACTGTTAGTTTAATTAAATTATTTCTGTATAGACGCTAATGCCATCTCACGGTGGGATTTCGACATACAATCAGTCCCAAGTTCTCCTATCAAAGATCCCTGGGGCTGCCTAGAACTAGTTTTGGTTCAATAAAAAAAAAATCTAATGCTGAATAACAACTAAACTAAAACATTCTCTGCATTCGAAGGATATAGCAGTCCTTTTACATTTTACCTTGCCATTATTAGTAATTTATTTATTTGCGATTTTAATAAATTATTTTAATAATTCATGTAATATTGGTTGCCTATTTATGAGTGATATCAACTTTTTAAAACGTTTTGTTCCTATTTTATAAAATAAATATNAAAAGAAAAAAAAATGGCATTGTGCAATAGGCGGGTTCCAGATAAAATCTGTTCAACCAACCTTACCACATACATAAACTTAATATTAATTATACTACACGCATCCCACGACAACGACAATACAATTTCTTGAATATTCCTCCCTCTCCTGCTCTGAACGTTAAAAAAAAAATGCATTCAAATGAATAACTATGACAAGGCTGCACATTGCTCCAAAAATTTATCTTTATATAGTGTTTTTTTGAAATTAATGATATTTAGTTTTTTGATCATAGGCGGTAGCGTTCCATATGACTTACATATGTGATACGTAAAAGACCTGTGAAACAAAGAGGTTCTGTATTTTGGTGGATATATGCCATATTTTAATCTCGTTTGTAGAGCATTGTTAGCCCTTTTAAAAGTAATCCTCTCATACAAGTATGTCGGTATATGTGTTGTGACGATTTTATGAAACAAAACTAAACTGTGCAACTCCCGGCGGATATCCATTCTGTGCCACCCAACATCTTTCAGTTTGTGTGAGATTCTGTCATACTTCCGGATTCCAAAAATGAACCAATTATTATTATATGATACAATTAATGTTAATCTTCGATAATTATTCATTCTTGAAAGAAGTTACTCAGTTCATAGTAAGGATTTTGTTCCAAGTACCGTGTGTTAATTAATTATTATCGTACCCGACGTCATCATTGCAAGTATGCAACCAATATCGCAAATCGCATATTGCAATACCAATACTGTAATATTGGTTGCATACTTGGGTACGATAATTAATTAACACTGAGTACCTCATCTTTAGTAGACGAGTTGGCATTGATTTTATTTCGTCAGGAAAATGACTATACATACTTTCTAGTTGATTGGTACATTTTTTTTTTGAATTTGAATAAATCATTGGTAAGTTAAGCTGACCTTTATTTCTATTATGGTATTCATGTATTCATTGCATTTCTTCATAATGTTGTGGATAACGTCTTACTTCATATTTTACTCTCCAAAATGTAAATTACTGATAAAGTAAGTAACCGACATCGTTTAAAATATTCTTTTTAGGAATTTCTTTTGCAGTAGGAAAATTCTATTCTACCAACAGTGGGTACACTGTTCCATTAAAGGCAAGCAAGGCAGTCTCAGTATCTCTCAGTAGTAGCTATCTTAGATGCTAAGACTTAATATGCTACTTCCATTGCAGATTTTCATCAATCAACACCAAGAAATTTGATACTATAGACAGTTACTACTATACAGTTAGTTGTTTTCCACATCTTCATCTCTACCCTCTAACTCCTTACACAGTCTTAAATGACCCAAAAAACAAGTCAAAAATAAAAAGATAGTGCGGAAAAGTGACTAACACTAGATTAGCTTCAGTTATAAAACTTCTATTATATTTTAACTAACTTCAAGTTTAAATTTAACCTCAGTTTTGACATATTTGTAATCTTCATTAAAAATCCTTTAAAATGAGTACAAACTCGACATATTTATCTTCAATATTAATGAAGTTATGGTTAACATCCGGTTAAGAATATCAACGTCAATTTTGACATATTTGTAATCGTCGTGAAAAATCCTTTAAAATGACAAACATGATACGTTTAATTCCAATACTACTTAAGCAACTTCCGATTTGAAATGTCAATGTCATTTTGACATATTCTTAATTTTTATAAAATGTCTTAATATTTGTCACAAAAGCAAAAATACAATAAAAAAAATCAAAAATTAAGGTTGGTACTAATATTTAAAACTTAAATTGCTTAAATCTTCATTGTTGCTAACTTCGGGTTTAATGTTTTTTATTCTAACTTTTTTGTTTTTAGAGATAAGCGTCATTTTTCGACTCATTTTAAAGGTTTTTTTAATGAAGATGAAAAAATGAGTTTAAATAACAGAAATAGTTTTTAGCACTGTATAAAAATAAACTAACAAAAAAAAATTAGTTTGAGCAATCTCTTATTAAAGTTAATTAATTTTTAGTTATTAACACTAGAACAAGCTTTATTACAGTTTCCTTCCTCGAAATTAACTCCATTTTCTATACAGCCATTTAATTTGTTATTTTTCTCTTTTATCTTATCTTGGTACTCTATCTTGGCTTTATTTATATTTGAAAGTACATCACTACCATAGCAATCCTTTTTTTCAAAATTTAAAGACTGATAAAGTTTTTAGAACTTTCTGATGTTATTTCTGAATTCTTATAAGTATGACTTGGATCTGCATCTCACTATATGCATTGAAACATGTTGAACTTTAACTTTTGCATCAACAATTCACCGTTGAAGGAATAAGAAAATTAAATCAAAAATTAAGTGAGAAATAAGGTTACCTTTTTCATTTCTGATGGGAATTGCACTCGAGGTACTTTGAATACCGAATGTTGTTTGGGGGTTCATCATTGTTTTTGAGAAAATATGTAAATAGTTTATTGACGTTTGCTTTTTGACAGATTGAGGTTAGAAGTGTTATGTGAAATATGTCAAAATTGACGTTGACGTTAAATATGTCGAGTTTGGACTCATTTTAAAGGTTTTTTAATGAAGATGACAAATATGTCAAAATTGACGTTGACGTTAAATATGTCGAGTTTGGACTCATTTTAAAGGATTTTTTATGGAGTTGACAAATATGTCAAAAATTAAAAGTTTAAAATTCGAATTTTTTGGTTTTTTGAGATAAATGCGTCAAGTTTGGACTCTAGAACATCTAATAAGCACATCTAACATCTAGAAAACGACACTGGCCCGAAATTGTAGGTTTTTCTATTGTAGAATTTCTTGGTGTATCTAACTCGGTTCTTCGACGTATGATACAAATCGGACTTGAAATCGTATAACGTGATTGGCGTTTAGCTTTATCCTTTAAAACAAGTAGTATTTTTGGTTTTTCGGTATTCTGCATTTTTTCTAAGATAAGTTACACCTTTACCTACCAAACAGCATGTAAATCTCTAAAAACGATAAAATGTCGCTTAGTTAAGTGATGTATAACGCGGTCCAATTGTTAGTAATGTATTATTTTCGATTTTAATAAATTTTAATATTATTCGTGTAATATTGGTTGCCTATTTATGAGTGATATCAATTTTTTAAAACGTTTTGTTTCTATTTTATAAAATATAATAATAATTTTCGCAAAATCACAAAACATAAAGGGCTGTATTAATCTTGAATATTTAAGTGGCAAAACTTATTATTAGTGGGATAAAATAGGACACATCATGTTTACACAATAAAAACTTACAATGTATACAAAGTAATTTCTTAAACAACGCCTAGTAATCTATTATAATCTCAAAACTTACACGGTTTACCCACATTTTCTTATACCATGAACTATGAAATAGCATTAATATTAACTGTAAGTAAAAAATTGTCACTCGGTGTTAACTTCACTCACTTTCATAATTTATTTTTAAACCTTAACGTAGTGGTTAAAAAGAGTAATAATAAAAAGGTGAAAAAACTTACAAATTCACTTTAATTTAGGCTCTCCGTACACGCACATTGGATCTCAGGAATCGTTTGGAACATAACGCCGATTATTGGAACGCTTTATTATTATCTTTGCGAGAATTAACCGAATGGGTTATTCGTAAAGATACCGAATTGGGTTTGGCAGCCCGACAAGATGATCACCGGGCGTTTAGGCAACAATTGGAGGATAAAAGACCGTTGGTGGAAGCGAGTTTAAGGAACGCACGCCAATTTGTTGCCAGCGAACCTTCTGGGGAACTCGCCCGAAATTTACGACGAGAATTGGTGAAATTATCCGACAAATGGAATGCTTTAATCGATAGATCTGATCAATTGGCAGCGAGGTTTGAAGCCAACGCTGCTGTAAGTAACGTTGTTAACGAGAATAATACGGTAAATATTTTTTTTTTTTAGTTATTTTTTTTTAAATTAAATGATTTTTTTAAATTTTAATAATTTGGATTCATAACTAATTTCTTTTTGCAGAAATTAGCCCAATTAACATTAAATTTAGAAGAAGCTGTATCTGCAGTCGCTCGTTTAGAGCGTGCGACACTATCGTGGAGTGGTCCTAGAAGCGCAGCTGAAGCAAGAGAACTTCTTTCAAGTCTTAGAAATTTAGAGCAACAACTCCCACAACTTCATAGGCTTTTAGAAGAAGCTCGGAATCAAGCGGCCATGTTAGGCGGGGCTTTACCGCAAACCTCGGCTACTCAATTAGAAGATTGCGCGGCTAGATATCGCGCCCTTCAAAATGCAATACACGAACGACGCGAAGTATTAACTTCGAGTTGTCAAGGGGAAATTTCTCCGGGACCTTCAAGTGTGCAACCGCCTTGGGAACGTGCAACAACCCCAAATAAAGTACCTTATTATATTAATCATAGCATGGAAACGACGCATTGGGATCATCCCCAAATGATCGAATTGGCAGCGTGTTTGTTGCAGTTAAATGAAGTCAGGTTTTCCGCGTATAGAACCGCGTTGAAATTGAGAGCGTTACAAAAAAAGTTATGTTTGGATTTGGTGACGTTAAATGTAGCATCTGAAGCGTTTGATTTGCACGGTTTGCGCGGACAAAACGATAAGATTTTAGATGTAGCGGATATGATGTTAGTTTTAAGAGGGATTTATACGAATGTTTCTACTGAGTATCCAAATTTAGTGGACGTGCCCCTTTGCGTAGATATGGCTTTAAATTGGTTATTAAACGTGTATGATAGTCAAAGAACGGGGCAGTTACGCGTACTTAGCTTTAAAGTTGGATTAACGATTTTATCAAAAGGACATTTAGAAGATAAATATCGGTACTTGTTTCGATTAATAGCCGACCCCCAACAAAAAGCGGATCAACGTAAACTCGGTTTGTTATTGCATGACGTTTTGCAAGTACCAAGACAATTAGGCGAAGTCGCCGCGTTTGGTGGGTCGAATATTGAACCAAGCGTTCGGAGTTGTCTTGGTGAGCGCGAAGATTTAGAAGTAACCCATTTCCTCGCTTGGTTAAAACAAGAACCACAATCATTAGTTTGGTTACCAGTGTTGCATCGTTTAGCCGCCGCGGAAACCGCTAAACATCAAGCGAAATGTAACGCTTGCAAACAATACCCAATAATCGGATTGCGATATCGTTGTTTGAAATGTTTCAACTTCGATATGTGCCAAGCTTGCTTCTTTTCCGGCCGTTTAACGAAAGGACATAAACTTTCCCACCCAATGCACGAATATTGTGCTGCTACTACCTCCGCCGAAGACGTCCGGGATTTCACGAAAGCCTTGAAAAACAAATTCAAAGGAAAACGTTATTTCTTGAAACACCCAAGAGTTGGGTATCTCCCCGTTCGCTCAGTTCTTGAAGGAGATGAACTTGAAAGCCCCGTAGCTTCCCCGCAACACAACGACATGCATTCTCGTTTAGAAATTTACGCAAGTCGATTGGCGGAAGTTGAACTTCGCGCTTCCTCCCCCGAAGATGAACATCGCTTAATCGCCGATTTATGTCAATCACTTGAAGGAGCCCCCGCAAGTCCAGGACAACTCATGCTAGTAATCGATGAAGAACAACGCGCGGAATTACAAGATATGATTCGAGAGTTAGAAGCGGAAAACGCTGCGTTACGACAAGAATATGAGCAATTACAAAGAGGTGCAAATCCACATCCGCCTCCCGCACAACACGATGTGGTCGAAGAAGCGAAATTGTTGCGAAAACACAAAGGACGATTAGAAGCTAGGATGGAGATTTTAGAGGATCATAATCGGCAGCTCGAAGCGCAATTAAAGCGATTAAGACAATTGTTGGACGATCCTACTAGTTCGACGTTACAAACTAGGAATGTAACTGCGTCGCAATTGAATCAGGACACCCCCGGTAGGGTATCGCAACCTCCTCCACCCAATGATCACCGCTAATCATATCGTATTTGTAAACGCTTCAAACGTAATAGCCCATATCAATTAAATCATATCATAATAATAAAGACATTCTAACAAAAAAGTTTATGTTTTATAATGCTTTTTTTAATAATGCGTTTTTATTTTTTTTTTTCTGTGATTTATAATGTTACATATACCAAGAATTTCATATAACTCGCAATATACAGGGTGTATCTGAATGACTGCAACAAACTTCAAGGGATGATTCTTTAGTGAATTTTAAGAGTACTTTGATATATGAACTATGGGCGACTTCGGCTCCCCTAAGGAGCTACACCCCTCCAAAAATAGCGGAAAATTTTGGTTTAATTTCTTTTTCTCAAAAACCATAAACGCTAGGAAAATAAAATTTGAGGAATATGTTTAACTCATAATAGGGCACGTTTTGACCCTATTTGTACTTTCAATCTAAACTACTAAACGTAACCACCCCCGTTCAATTTATGCCCAATTTATGAAAAATTTCAGTTAGATGAAACTATTCTAAAACTTTTTTGTCTCTCTGATGTTCTTCTAAAAGTTAATAATTTCTGAGAAAAAAAATAGTAAAGCAAACACTAACTGTTAAGCTGTAGGGTTGTTAATCGAAAGTTGGAATGAAATTTAAATAAAAAAATCTTAGTAGGCTTTGCAATCTTTGCCAGAAATATTTTTGACGTTTAAATATCAGTGGTTTTCTTACTTTATTATTGTTTTATTTAAAATTTTGAAACGTCGAGTGAACGAGCGTAAATGCGATAGAACTTTATTCAAAAATTAATTTGAAGAACAAAAATAATAATAAGAAAAACTGACATTTAAACGTCAAAAATATTTCTGACAAAGATTGCAAAGCCTATTAAGATTTTTTCATTAAAAATTCATTCCAACTTTTGATCGACAACCTCGTTGTTTAACGGGCAGTGTTTGCTTTACTATTTTTTTTCTCAAAAATTAGTCGTTTTTGGAAAAATTTCAGAGAGACAAAAAAGTTGTAGGATATTTTCATGTACCTATGTAAAATTTTTCTAATGTATTTATCATCTGCATAAAACAAATTTTAGCAAAAATGCAAAGGGGGTGGTTAGGTTTAGTAGTTTAGAAGGGTAGGTTGAAAGTACAAATAGGGTCAAAACGTGCCCTATTATGAGCTAAACATATTCCCCAAATTTCATTTTCCTAGCGTTTATGGTTTTTTTGAAAAACAAATTAAACCAAAATTTTCCGCCATTTTTGGAGGGGTGTAGCTTCTTAGGGGAGCCGAAGTCGCCCATGGTTCATATATCAAAGTACCCTTCAAATTCACTAAAGAATCACCCCTTGAAGTTTGTTGCAGTCATTCAGATACACCCTGTATGAATGTAGTAACCATAGTTATGAAACTACTATGCACTTGCATTGTCTCACATAAAATGTAACATAGTTTAACACATTGACTGCCATGAGAAGCGTAACTTGATGCACGACAAAATTTCCACAACAGCCACGAGAAGCAACAGTTGATTCTCATGCAGGGTGTACTTTTAAAAGCCAAATGAATCAGCGATTGCTTTTCAGATTGCTATAACAGTTATGGAGTTCAAAATACATGCCTGTAAGAACTGGAATTGGCCTGTGCTTATGTGAATCGAGTGTTGATTCTCAAGGCCTGAAATATTATTATCAACCGTATCTATTTATTATCAACATTCTCCAGAATTATAGTAGAAGTCTGAAATTAATAGGACGCAATCAGCTTTAAAAATAGTACATGGCACTACACACATTTTTTTTCAAAATTTTTAGGCGGGTGCACTTATCCCATGTTTGAAAGCAAGAGCGCCATCCCATGTTATTTATCACACCAATGCATAGACTCGACGGGACAAGAGCAGCTAACCGAGGTATTTTTGAAATTATAGCAATTTTCAGAATTAAAATATAACAAATGGTTATGGAAATATTGATAGTACATTGAAATGATGGTATAGCCATAAAAACTGACATCAAACTTGATTTCACCCCTTCTTCCCATGATAGGAGGAGGTAAAGTACAAATCACCGCCGAAGTCTCAACTTCTGAAATATCTTCCACATCAGGCCATGTGAAAGCGGGTCTGCAAGTTACCGTTTTTGATTTTATTCTCCGTAAAAATTTCGCAGTTGGATTTCCAGTATCCTGATCTACATCTTCTATTTTTCCTATAAAATATTGAATAAAGTCTTTATCTTTGAATTCAGTCTAGTTAAGATCCAGTCTCCAATTTCAATTAAATTTTTTTTTCAAGGTCAAGTGCGTCTAATGCTTCGGCACCCGCTTCAGAAAGCGTTTCAAAATCGCTATCTTCATCATTCAAATGCAAATATGAATATTCTTCATCTGTTTCTGAATCGTAGATGGTTTTTGTATTTTTTTGCATCATTTTACGTTTCACTTTATTGATTTTCTTGTGTTTCATCGAATTCTCTTCTTTGGTCTTCTTCTGTCCCTTGGTAGCAGCTTTCTTTCTTTTGGGCTTCCTGGATGTTTCTGTTATATTATTAGCTTGATTTCCTTTTAAGAGGTTTAGTAAAAGTCCTTCAAACGTGACTGCTTCCATTTCAGCTGGTGTTTGTTTATGTTCTCTCTCATGTTCTTCTTTTTCTATCAAACTAACATCTTCAGCTGATGGTGTATATTCTTCATCTAATTGTATACTATGTTGCCGACCATTTTCTGAGTCCAACAATTCCAGCTCTTCCACTGGTGTATGTTCTCCCTGACCTGCTGCTTCCAATACTTTAATAGATGTAAAAACAGCCAACTCAAGTGGTTGTAGAAGATGGCTGGTATGTGGCGGTAATTTTATATCCACTACGTTGATATCGATATGAGTTGTGTGGCCGTCATATATAACTAAAACAGGACCACCATTACCTACGAAGAGTATGAATGTTTTCAAAAAATAGTTCTTAAATACTTGGGATTCCATCCACCTGTTCTCTGTGGTAGCATATGTTGTTCCTGGATATTCTTTTTTCGTTTATATATCATTAATGGCGGAGCTTTTTGTCCATCTGCAGCTGCAGCAAACAGAACACTGGTGTTTGTCCTCCCTGTACCAGATACAATTCGAGTAGAAGAACAGCCGTTTTCACCTACGATTTTCGTCTTTGAGGGATCACTGCAAAAACTAGTTTCATCCATATTCCAAATATTAGATGGTTTGTCTTGTAAATTTAGTTTTTGCATCGTTTCCTTCAGTAACTGGAAATACGGGTATATTATAAAGGGATCCGTGTTTTTCTTCCTGGCATATTCTAAGGCTTCAGGTTTTTTTTCATGTTTTCAGTAACAACTGGAAACGATTACGAGGAATTAGATCTTTGATTTTGTTAGTGTACAGAACACTTCTAGACCAGTATGATTCAATGGACGGAAACTGTCAGAGATAATAATTACAATGAAACACTCAGTTTCCTCTTTATTTGTGTCATGCCATTCGTAAATCCTGGCTTTGGGTAATTCTTCAGCAGTTTGTCTCTGTTACCATTAGATCTATGAACTCATACGGACCTTTATCAAAATCTTCACCACAACAAATTTATCACTAGAATCCTCAAATGGTTCATTATCGTCTTCGTCTGAAAAACACTCCTGCCACAATTTTGTTGTTCTTCTTCGTAACTGATTTTTACAGACACTTTTTATACCAAAAACTAAACACTACCACCTGAATTCAACAAATACCATTCACGAACCGTAAACGACTAAACGTATCATTCATATAGCACTGCATTTTTGCATGAACAGACTTGTTTTCTTATGAATCACTTTATGATTCAAACGGCCAGTACGGCAATTATTATTTGTGGGGCCGCATGAATCATATGCTGCTTGTCGACTGAAAACAATAAAAAAAATAATGATTTGTAATTTACTATCCTATTGCTAGCCAATTTAATTTTAAAATTGTTCTGACCAGAATGGATAGACTTTTAATGACTACTGCGGCAGTCAACGTGTTAATAGTACAGGCATTGAGTGGTTTTGCTAAGGAAAAGTTTTGCTTGGAAAAGATGACGTCCTTATGATAACTCTGAATTTCCGTCTTAAAAGACGTGCGGCTAAATCCAAATGGTTCTAGGTATAGTGTTAGTTCTACTTTTACACTAACACTGTTACTATGCAGAACTAACACTATACCTAGAACTAGAATCATTTGGGTTTCGCCGCACGTCTCTAAAGACGGCTAAACCGGAATGATTCTAGTTCTAGATCTATTGTTAGTTCTAGTTTTATACTAGCACTGTTACTAAAGGGTTTTCCAATAAGAGGTGTTATTTTGAATAGCCCGTTATTTCGGTAGATGTCACTTTTGAAGCTGTCATTTTTTGACATTTCAGTCGAATGATTCTAGTTCTAGGTCTACTGTTAGTTCTAGTTTTACAGTAACATTGTTGCTATGTTAAACTAACACTATACCTAGAACTAGAATTATTTGGGTTTAGCCGCACGTCTCTAAAGACGGCTAAACCCGAATGATTCTAGTTTTAGGTATAGTGTTAGTTCTAGTTTTACACTAGCACTGTTACTAGAACTAACATTAGAACTAGAAACATTTGGTTTTAGTCGTGCGTCTTCAGACGCACGGCTAAACCCGATACTACTGTTAGTTCTAGTTTTACACTAACACTGTTACTAGCCGCACGTCTCTAAAGACGGCTAAATCCAAATGATTCTAGTTCTAGGTATAGTGTCAGTTCTAGTTTTACACTAGCACTGTTACTATGTAGAACTAACTAATGATTCTAGTTCTAGGTATAGTGTTAGTTCTAGTTTTACACTTGCACTGTCACTTGAACTAGAAACATTTGGGTTTGGCCGTACATCTCTTAAGACGGCTAAACCCGAGTGATTCTAGTTCTTGGTCAAGCGCTGCATAACAATTAAAACTAGAACTTACACTAGACTTACAACTAGAAAGTTTCGGCTTTAGCCGTACATCTTCAGACATTTTATGTGGGACAAAGTAAGTAGTACTATGGAAATATATTTTTGTATATTGCATCTTAAGTGAAATTTACTATATTATGTTGTTAGTGCTTTTAAATGTGCTTTTGATGTCATTCTTTTTTTTTCGAATTCATTTTTTTTCTTTATTTCGTTTGTTTCAGGAAAACCCATCAATGAAACCTTGCATATAGAAATAATGCAAATATTTTCTTGATAACTCAATAAAAAATTAATTATTCCTGTTTATACCCTCCTTTAAAGTATTCAAAAGAAGTGATAAAGTGAAATAAATAAAGTGGTAAGTAATGAGATAATAAACACTAGTTCACAAATTTTAATCAATTTTTTCCGCCAAGACTGCAATATTTTTTTATAACGTAGAATGTTGAGCTGATTCTGAAACTGTCTTCAGTTTTTCTCCATTATGTTCAGCTTTTGAGATATCATCAAACGGTTTATGTTCAGTATATTTTTTATTTTGCATAGGCCCACTTTTAAAATCCTCCTGATAAACTATCTAGAGGATAGTTGCCATGGTTACGGCGGTTTTAAGCGCTCTCATTGGCTAAGAACTGGATTTATCTATCGGATAAATTTATCAGGAGGTGGTAAAAGTGGGCCATAGTGTGCTGTAGCTATATGGACATGAAAGTAGAGATCCAGGCGAACATTTTGAGGTATTGATAGCATAAATCGGACTCTCCGTTATTTTGCTGCAGCCTAAAACAACTCGACAAAATCAAATTTTTTTTGCATTTAATCGCACCGTAACAAAATATGTATGAACAAAAAAGTTAGCTATTCTATCCTATAGAACAATTAATTCTCTAAATATCGAAGCATTGGACACCATGGTCGAACGTATTTTACTGGAAATATCGTTAATTTACGAGAATTTCATTTTTTGCCATTTTAACTGCTAGTTTAAGAACTCGCGCGTTTAGCTGTTAGAGGTTTTTTTGCAAATGAGTTAAAATCCAATCACTTTCTGGGAGAAAGTGTTTTTTTAATAACTCCACTTCTTTATGTATTAGAACCTTGTTCTGCTAAACGGTCTTTTTTTTGGTATAAAAGGAGAATATATTATCATAATATTAAGTTCTTCTTGAGACACCTCAGTGATCTTTCCTTTAAGAAAATAACAAAGTGTTGTAAACGTTTTCTTGATAATGGCTGGCAGCAGCAGAAGTTTTGGATGTAAAAACAATCTTGATTTGTTCTGGTTTATTTTCGGACAATACATTATCGGGATGACCAATTACAACTGTTATAAAAAGGCGTATTCTCGAATTTAGACAAGCCATGGACTTTGAATAGATGGATGGTGAATCTGCTCATTTACAGTTTATTTTGAGTCTAATTCAGCACAACGCAATGCAATGGAAAGTTTGTGCAGATTTAAAGGTAATTGCCGCAGTAAAAAAATTTACTAACTTCTACTTTTTAAGTATTGACTTACATTTCTATGATTTTCAGGTAGTTGGTGTGGTTACTGGCTTACAAGGCAGTTTTACAAAATATTGCCGTTTTCTTGGCTTTTCTTGTGGAATAGCTGAGCGAGAGAGCATAATTATGTGCGAAAAGACTGGCCTTCTAGAAGACATCACAATACTGGTGCATTCAATGTCTTAAACAAGTCTCTGGTGAGACCAGAATCTGTAATATTGCCTCCATTACACATCAAACTGAGTTTGATGCAAAGTTTTGTTGAAAAACGTTAAAACTAAAAGAAGGCATATTTGTTGGCCAATAAGAAAATTAACGAATTTATTTCAACATTAACAACAAAAGAAGTTGCTTCTATTGGATTGGCTTCAAACAAACCGTTCATTTTTAGGAAACCATAAGGATGACAATTAGAAAAAAAGCAACAGTGTTTGATTGGATTAACAAATTTTCTACAAATGTCTAAATTGTCTAAATTGATAGATAATTGATCACTTCACACGAAAATACTGCCCGTTTGACAAAATTAGCAATGGCGTAGACAATATTTTTAAAAAAGGGCTTTTTATTGCAGATGTTTAAGGAGGCATTTGCGACCCCATGTATATTAAGACTATTCATCTTAATTTTTCATGTATTATCTACCCTAGAAGTATGTCAGAGATTTTTTGAATCACTCTGTATATTAAACATAAATTTTAATTCCAGAAAACTCTGTAATATAAACCTGTAGACGGTATAAACAAAAAGACAAAGAAAAGTATGGTATCGTTTGTAAGATTAGCCAAAAACCCGAGTTCGCATAGTGAAACTCTGCCAAAACCAAATCCTGATCAATTAATCCAATCCAGTTCTGAAAGAGTAAAAAAATAGTATATTAAAAAACAAGTTTCGTAAGATACGCTTGAAATGCACGAATTCAAGTTGAAAAACGAGTGGCGAAGCCACGAGTTTTTTAATGAATGAGTGCTTTAAGTCTTATGAAACGTGTTTTTTATGCTATTTTTTGTAATTCGCGTTTTTATACTTTCTTTTAACAAAAATAAAGTAAATTTTGGCAATGTAGGGAAATAGGTATGTAGTAGTTGGTAACACCGGAACACTTGAAAATAGAAACTTTGAATTGACAATTAGAAACTGTCAAAACACAAAATATATTCACCTGAAAAAAAATGTTTGATGTACACCTCCCAAAATACGAGAAATTGCTCAGAGTCAATGTCCTCATCATTGTGGACCTTGTATTCGATGCTAAGAACGTGTTTAAACATCCATAGACAAAAATTGTCACATTGACAACTAGAAAAATTAATGACCCAATGTCACCAACTTGAACTGGTTCCATAAAATGTTACTAAAATCTCATTACAGCACCCGTTTGAGTACTGTTATAGCTTCCATTACCGTAGCGAATTACAAAAAAGTTATTTTAAGCTGTATCAAAATAACGGAGGATCCGATTAATACCATTAATACCTCAAATTGTTCATCCATATACTGTGTAAAATAAAAGCTACACTGAACATGAACCGTTACTGTTTTTTAATTCACGATTTTCCACATTTTTTGGGTTATCTCGAAAACTGGACGCAATGGTGACAAATAGTTTCAGATTCTACGCTATGAAAAAGATATCAGGTCGAGATTTTTCTTATAAACTAGTAAAATTAGTACGGTGTAACATTGGTTGCCTATATTTTCTTTTTTTCCCAAACATAAGGTAAAATAAATACTTATGAAGGTTAAACTATTTAAAAGTCGTTTAAGTGCATTTAAATCAACATTTGCGTAAATTAATGACCAATTTTTTTTATCTTTTTTTTTTCAGAAAATCATAATATTGTGTAGGTTAGTAAAACGTCAACGTAAATTATAACATTACGTTGATCAATCTAAACATATACACATTCCTTCACAAAACTGCCACGGAAGGTTATCTAAACACGGGTTAACAAAATAATTATTAAGAAAGTGATTACAGCGAAAATTTTAGGTTAAAAATGAGTAAAACGTCCATATCAATTCAGAAATGGGTAGATGCTTTACCACTGCCCCCCGGGTCCCCAAATTCACTCCATCCATCTGGTTCGGCCCCACAAAACGTAAGATTACGAATTTTAGGAAGAGATATTTCTATACAATCTGATGATGCTAGCAGTCACTGTTCAAGTGTTGAATCTGTACTGGAGTCTCGAAAACCAGATCCTGTAGATGTACTTTTAGGGCTTGGTTTTGGACCACCTAGTGATAATAATAGTCATCTTGGGAGGATACCACAAAGGTTTTTAAAACCTTCCAAGGTAACAAATTAATGCATTTATTTAATTGTTTAAATTTCATTTTGTGTGATTTAAGTTAATAAAAGACATTGATATTAATGCATTTCTCGAACAACAAGGAGAATTAAGATTTGAACCAACATATGGTTCTTTACCACCATCTCCTGCAAAAGGACGACCTAAAACATGTTGAGGACCACTTTATTAGAAGTCTGTTTTTATATGCGCAATATTCTATCTATTATTTGAATTGAAGTTAATCATTCCTATTATGTAAATTATTATTTTTACTACATGGCTGTGTTTGTAAAATAATTTTGGCCAATATTTAGATTATTTTGTAAGGTTGTTTTTATTAGGAGGACTTATTCCTTGTGTATTGTGTTCCTATGTTATTAGTAAAAAAGATTTGTATAATGAGGACAAAAAAATATCAAAAACATGGACAATCCTATTTCGATGAGAAACCTTGTATCAAATATATGTCAATTATTTTTTTGAGTCTCTCATTGATATTTTATTTTGTAAAAAAAATGTTTATTTCTTAAACATTAATAAAAGACATTATTGTCGAAATATGTTTTTTTTTCCTTTTTGATTTAAATATCAATATCTCATTTAAACAATTGTTGTTGCAAGAAATAATTTAGACGCAAAGAGAAGGGGAATTTCATGAACAAAATGTACCTCATTGTTTATCAACAAACCTAATATTATGTGTTTTTAAGACAGTTTATATTATCTGGACCACAAGTTGTAAATGTTTTTGTTTTGGAAAAGAAATTTTTAATATAAACCATGTTGTTTTGCCGAAATTTCGACGTTTTGTAATTTCTTTTAAGAAAATTCCAGTCTAAAAAGTTATAGCTGGTTTAAAACTTATTGCTTTTATCGTAAATCGAAACATTTTTTATTCATTTTTTATGTTTAATGACGCACTAAACATTTATCGCTTAGTAACAAAACTTTCTACCAATTGGAACAGAATTAATTTATTAAAATTATACGATTTATTACTTAGTCATCAAGGAATGTGAAGCTCTTTTTACCATAAATCAATAATTAATGATGTTTTTTTTTTGTTAATCTGCTGATATCCGCCCTAGTCTCCATACTTTAATTTCTTTGGCCAACACCATGCCTCTTGACATTACCATTTCTGGTACTATTTTGTCATGATCTTTCTGCAAAGAGAGAAACTGACACAAATGTTAGTGCAAGAAGGTCAAAATATAGAGATAGAGTATTGGCAAAAGTTTCTGCAGGAAGACTAGGACAACAAACATGATATAGAAATTTTGGTAAAAAGATCAAATTATTAGGAAAAGCATTTATGGGAAGAGAAGAACAGTTGGCGCTAGCAATTATCATTACCAGAATAACACCAACACTGACAGATTGGTTTGTATAAAAAGATTATAATACTGACACCGATAATGAGACTAGGTAGAAATGTTTGCAGAAAGAGGAACTAATAAAAAACTCTGAAATTTCTGTAGAAAAATAGGAACATTAACAAAGAACAATGCAAGAAACATTTCTGCAAAACAATTGAACTAACAAAAAGCTTTGAAATTTCTGTAGAAAAATAGGAACAATCAAAGTTCCAAAGTTTATATAAAAAGACCATGTTACTAATTAAGTGATAGAAAAGGTTGGCAAAAGTGTTTTAATTTTTCTGTAAGGCAAAAAGAACACTAAGCGACATATTTTTGTAAAATGACATAACACTGATAACGAATCCAAGCAAAAATGTTTGCAGACAGAAAAAAGCAGTTGGAACTAAGAAAAAACTTTGAAATTGCAGTAGAAAAATAGGAGCAATCATAAAGATGTTTTTGCAAGAAGTTAAAAACAATGCCATTAGCAAAGAATATTGCAAGAAACATTTCTGCAAAAGAAACACTCACACTGACAATGAAATTTATACAAGAAGATCATGTTACTGATTAACTGATAGAAAACGTTAGCAAAAGTATTTGTCAAAAGAACAGAATAAATGATATGGCTAAAGAACTCACAGACAAGAATTTTTTTGTAAGGCAAAAAGAACACTAATTGTAAGCAAAATATTTTTGTAAAATGACATAAATATAACACTGACAACGTATTCAGGCGGAAATGGTTGCAGAAAGAAAAAAACAGTTAGCACCAGCAAAAAACTTTAAAAAATTTCTGTAGAAAATAGGAAAAATAAGAAGTTTTGACAGAAAAAACCCAAAAACGCCATTAACAAAAAACGCTGCAAAAATATTTCTGCAAAAAGACTACAACACCCACACCGACAATGAAGTTTATACAAAAAGATTATGTTACTCATTAATTGATAAAAAAACGTTGGCAAAAGTGTTTGTTTAAAGAGCAGAATAAACGCAGTGAGAGATAAAGAACTCTCAGACAGGAATTTTTCTTTAAGGCAGAAAGAACACTCTTTATTTGTATTACACTTGAATTTAACAATAGAAACCGGTAGAGCCGGCAATAAAAAAAAACCATCCATCTATAAATACACAGTTTTATTTCAATTATATTAAAATTGAGATGGAAAGAAATAACCAAATAAATATTAAAAAGAATACTGTCATATTTTGTAAAATGACATAAATATTAACACTGATAACGAATTCAGGCGGAAATGTTTGCAGAAAGAAAAAAACAGTTGGAACTAACAAAAAACTCCGAAGTTTCTGTAGAAAATTCGAAGAATAAGATGTTTTGGCAGACAGTTAAAAACCAAAAATGCCATTAGCAAAGAACATTGCAAAAATATTTGTGCAAAAGGACTGGAACACCCACACCGACAATGACGTTTATACATTAGGATTATGTTACTGATTAATTGATGGAAAACGTTGGCAAAGTTGTTTATCTAAAGAGTAGAATAAATTAAGTGAGAGATAAAGAACTCTCAAACAGGAATTTTTCTTTAAGGCAAAAAGAACACTGCCATATTTTTGTAAAATGACATAAATATTAACACTGATAACGAATTCAGGCGGAAATGTTTGCAGAAAGAAAAAAACTGTTGGAAGTAATAAAAAAACTCTGAACTTTCTGTAGAAAATAGACACAATCACAATGATATTTTTGCAAGAAATTAAAAAAGGTTGGCAAAAGTGTTTGTCGAAAGAGCAGAATAAATGATGAATGATGAAGCTAAAAGAACATTAAATGATATATTTTTATAAAATGACATAAATACTTACACTGATAATGAATCCAGACAGAAAAAAACCATTGAAACTAACAAAAACTGAAATTTCTGTAGAGAAATATGAACATTTACAAAGAAATTTTTGCGAAAAGTTAAAAACAACGCCATTGACAAAGAATATTGCAAGAAACATTTTTGCAAAAGGAATAGAACACCCACACTGACAATGAAGTTTATATAAAAACACCATGTTACTGATTAAGTGATAGGAAAGGTTGACAAAAGTGTTTGTCGAAAGAGCAGAATAAATGATATGGATAAAGAACTCTCAGGCAGGAAAATTTCTGTAAACATTGACTGAGCTATTTTTGAAAAAATGACGTAAACGCTGACACTGGCAAAAAGTTTCTATTGAAAGAAAAGAACATCAACACCGTTCAATTATACTGAAAAAAGCTTTTGCAAAAAGTTAAAAACAATGCTACTAACACAGAACATTGCAAGAAACATTTTACAAAAGGACTAGAACACTCACATTGAAAATGAAGGTTATATGTTACTGATTAAGTGATAAAAAGGTTGATAAAAGTGTTTGTCGAAAGAGCAGAATAAATGATATGGATAAAGAACTATCAGATCAAGGTTGCCAGGTCTCAGATATTACCATTAATCGACGATTTTACGATTTTATTACAGAAATAATATATTAATTAGTGTTAATAAAATCAAAGTAAAATCATATCATTTTCAACTGGTAGATTATTGTAAATTTCTCTGTTAGTTACATGTAAGAAATTACTTAAACTGTAATATTATATTTCCTTTGATTATATCACTTTTATATACAAACGTTGTCTAAACTATTTTACTTGAATCCTATGCCTATATGTAACACATATTATTAAAATTGACTGATTTTTAAACAAATTTCAACATCCCACGATTTTTTATGACATGGCTCACGACATTCTACGTGTGTAACCTGGCGACCCTGTATCAGATGGGAAAATTTCTGAAGGTGAAAAGAACACTGACTGAGATATTCTTGCAAAACGACATAAACACTTCCACTGGCAATAAGTTTCTGCAGAAAGAGAAGAACATCAACACAGTTAAAGTACACTTAAAAAAGCTTTTGTAAAAAGTTAAAAACAGTGCTACTAACACAGATCATTAACAAAACCATTTTTGCAAAAAGACTAGAACATCCACACTGACAATGAAATATATAAAAAGACCATGTTACTGATGAAGTGATAAAAACCGTTAACAAAAGTGTTTGTCTAAGGATATGGATAAAAAACTTTCAGGCAGAAAAATTTTTGCAAGTCAAAAATACATATAGATATATTTGCAAAATGACATAAACACTGACAAAAAGTTTCTGCAGAAAGAGAAGAACGTCTACCCTGTTAAATAATACTGAAGAAAGTGTTGGCAAGAAGAAAAGAACAGTTGCACTAATAAAGAACTCCGACAAAAAAGTTTCCACAGAAAGATTAAACCACCTATATTGATACAGAAGTTTTTGTAAAAAATTGAAAATCGTCATTAGCAGAGAATACTGTAAGGAAAATTACTGCTTTTGTTTTGCGTTTGCAACAAAACTAAAATACCACGTTACAACATGATAAACACTGCTAACTATGTGTTGTTCTCATACCTCTGATGTATGTATAAAATTCTCTTATATACAGAGGCTGTCCCGTATCTTCCGCATCAAAGCAGTATACGGTTGAACGATACATTATTTTGAAGCGATTTTTCTAATAAAAAATTTTCGAAATGCGTCCAACGGAAAAAGTTTATTTCTCTTTCCGTGTCAAATCTATTGGCGAATCGGCCGAGGGTGGGATCGATTGTATGAGTCTGATTTACGATCTCCTATTGGACGACTTCAAAGAGTTCCCGTGCGGTTATTATAAACATTTTGAAAAAAAATTATTAGAAAAATCGCTTTAGAATAATGTACAGGGTGTCCAAATTTCGATGGGTTTGCAGGGTATCTCAGTTATTATGAAAGATTAGAAAGTTGCGGCTTTCGCGAACCTGAGCTACTTTTTTGTGAAACTTACAATGGCGCAAACCATATTTTCATAGCCCTCTTCGTTTTTGATATACAGGGAGT